AGAGGGGGGGGTGGGGGTGTGCCCCAGGGGGGCCCTGTTGGTGTTTCAGCCCAGGGGGTCCCCGGCCTGCACCAAGGTGCTCTGAGAGTGGGATGGCCCGTGTGGAATCGGCTCTCGGGTTAGGGCCCGGCAGAGGTGAAGTCTGCTGGATTTGGGGCCTCCTGCCAAGCCACTGCCTGACTGCTGGGCCTACGTGACAGAGGCACGGTGTGCAGACACCACACCTGGGCTCAGAGGCCCCCAAACTTTCATGGGCTACCCTCCCAAAGAGGCAAAGGGTGTTAAGGAGGCTGGAGAAGACGTGGAAGTCCAGCATAGTGGAGCAAAGCCACCTGCAGAGGTTACAGCAGGAGTGTAGGGCCATCCCAGCTCCACTGGCCTCGCTGGGGCACGGAACGGGGCCTAAGGGGGACAACCACGTGGGTGGGACCCCCAGCTGGATTTACTGTGCTGGGCCACACAAGCTCTCAGTCTGACCAAGCAGCCAGCACCTCAGGCAGGTGAGATGCATCTCCCCTTGGCCACCGTGCCCCAGGTCCTGTGTCAGAGCCCAGTGGCACAGAGGGCACGAGGGGAAGGGGGTCAGGGCTACAGGAAGGAGAGCTCACCTCTGCGTGGTGCAGTGGCAGGTTTTCCCCTGCCAGCAGGTAGCCCTCCACCAAGTGCACGCAGTAATCCACAGAGGAGCCCACCAGGATGGAGAGGGAAATGGCTTCCACAGCTCCCATTTCCCAGCCCGACCAGTACATGATGGTCACCACCAAGCAGACCACCCCTGCGTGAAGAAGGTCACGTTAGGGCAAACTTAAAGGACTCTGGAGACCTATACATACAGGTCAAACAGCGAGGAGTTTGGGACCACAGCCCTGCAGCTCTGCATGCTGGCCAGTCAGAGTCCTGCACACACCCCTCCAGCCCAGAGGCAAACACTTCCCACACCTTCCCCTGCCACAGGGACCAGTCTGTCAGGTAATGAGACCTCCCAGGGACAGGGAAACACCTGATTAAAGCTTAGGCCAACTGCCAGACTGATGCTGCTCCAGCCTGACCCTTGCTGAATGAATCCAAGCCCAGGCAAGTGAGCGTGTGGGTGCACACGTGCTCCAGAAAAGAGGCCCCTTGCTTTGGCTTGCTGGAGTTACACACAAGCCAAATGCACACACAGGTTTCTCTTAAAAGCAAGAGTGAGGTTTGTTTGTGAGTCATGTGTGGGAGACTGAGTGGTTGGGAAAATCATAGATTTGATTTTTAAACTGAGAAGTTTAGCAACACACTTACTTAGACCACAATCTGGTCAAATCCACAGCCAGGGAGAGGGAGCTATTTACAAGTTTGCTTCAAATACCAACAAAACTGCTAAAATATTCAGCTTTTAAAATCTCCTACTGCTTGGAAACAGCAGCCATGGTGCAGATCCTTGGGAAGCAGTGCAATTGTTATTCAGAGCATGCAGGACTTAATCACATTATTATACATAACGGGCAGGGATGGCATTTGTGGAGCTAAAACCCTTATTTAAACAAATAGAAGGGATTGTGTAGATAAAACACACTGGGAATTAGACACACAAATCTACTTTCCCAATGAGGTTCCTGTGCATTTGTTGAGAGTTCCTTCTGTTCACCTGGGTCTATGAGGACTGGCTCCTGGAAAGCCAGAAGGATTTACACAGGCTAAGAGCAATTCAGTTCAAACCACCAGAGACCCAGCAGTGCCACAACCCACCGATTTCAGACAAAGGGAGAGCCTGACACGTTGGAATTGGGATTTTTACCTAAAATGCTGAGCAGCACTGGCAGCAGGAGGAGGATGTGAGTGGTGAACACTGCCACTGCAGCCACACAAATAACCAGCGAGAGGACCAGGCCGTACAGGGCACTCTGCACTCCTGGAAGAGAAGAACCAGCTCATTTCACTCCTGGAAGGTGAGCACTGGGATGAGAAAGGCACTGGTGTCCTGGCAGGCAACGAGGCAGGCAGGGACTCACAAGGGGGAGATGGGAAGGGGAGGATGAAAGTATAAAATGGGTGATTAGCTTCTTGCCCCTCACACCAGCAGGACAGATCCCTTCCCTGTTTCCCTGGGCTCTGCCTACAATTCTGACAGTACCTGCTGCTTGGGGCAGAAACAGGCTTCAGGAGTTTGCACAGCAGTGTGAGGGGCTGAGGATAGAACACCTGCCCATCAGACAGGACAATGTGCTGTGCAGAGGTATCAGAGATGCATCCTCTCTCCCCAGGGAGAGGCACACAGCAGTCACTTGCCTATAATCTCCATGAAGATCTGCTTCCAGTGCTCACAGGTCTGGAAACCATGCCTGAGAGCAGAGCCCTCTGGGAAGAGCTGGAGCTGCTGCTGCAGGAAGGTTTCCCATTTCAGGTAGTCAGCATACGTCTGGAAGGATGACTTCCCTTTGTAGGTGGTCTGTAAGAAGATGAGCACGTTATTCCCACGTCCTGCTCTTTGGGGCAAGGTGTGCATGGCAAGGGAAGAGGCAGAACAAGGCAGCTGGAGCTGCAGCACTAGGCAGGACTGGCAGTGGCCCACCGACAGATCTGCCACCAGCAATTTGCCTGGGCTGGGGGGGTAAGAGTGAATTGTGACCTAGGCAGCCACTTCCAGCAACTTGTAAGTTTGTCTGCACCAAGGCACAAACACCAGCAAACACTTAATTAGGGCTGCAAACCAGTGGGCAGTGCAGAAGGAGCAGGGCTAAGCCCCAGAAACTGTCACAAGGAGAGATGGCAGTGCCATGTGCTCACCGATTCAAATGCCATGGAGATCCACTGCACCTTCCCATCCTTCACCCCCACTGCCCCATGAGAGAGCTGCCCAGGCAGCAGGTTTGGCTCAGGGATGTTCTTGCACTCAGGGTGCAACATCTGCAGAAAGGAGGAGATGCTGTAACCTGGAGAGACAGAAAGAGCAAAGGATGGAGGACAGGACAGGGAAAGGGGGGGGACAAAACACCAAGAGAAAGGTGCAGGCCCCATTTGTAAGCAGCTGCTTCCCTCTGCAACTCTGACTTGCCAAAGCCACCAGAGCTTTCAGCTGCTGCCAGCTTGAAAGGGCACCCTGTGCCACCAGCACTTGAGAGGACACCACCAGGGCTGTTTGGCCCCAGCTGTCAGGAAGCAGGACAAACAGCAGGTGCTGAGGAGCTGTCTTGTCTGCCTGGCCTGGGATTTCCTCCAGGCATGAGAGGTGAAGATCTCCTCTTGGCCTGAAGTCAGTATACACTTCCTAGACCCAGCTCCACAACCTCCTGACCTCTCAGGTTGGAGCAGAGCCACTGGTTAGGCATGTGAGGCCACAGGGACAAGATCAGGTGTGATTTGCTGGTTATTTAGGAGCTGCTAAGAAGAGATTTACTTGTCCAAAAGACTGTATCACAAGCAATACCCATGAGTGGAAAGGATGGACGCAATTCTGTTCTTATCTTCACTGGATTAAATACCAGAGAATATTCCCAGTGTTTTTGGAGCTAGAGACCACTTTTTTCTCACCTCCCAAATAGTATGACCAGGGACATGTTCTAGAAGGGTAAAACTCCCTTGGGAAGAAAAGGAGGCAGCAAGAAGCAGCCACCCTTTCTGGTTTGCTGCTGAGGACCCCAGCTAAAACAACCCCTGCTGCAAGCAGAGCTGCAGAACAGGAGTCTGACCTTCCCATCCCTCTCCCTGTGTACTTCTCACCCCCTCAAACTGCACAACACACAGGCACACGAGCTGAATGGCCTGTAGAGATGGGAGATGTGACTTAAGCCAGGTGGAACAGAGCTGTGCTGCAGCCAGGCCAGGAGAGCTGCCTGCTGAGAAACTCCTCTGCCCCTGCACTGCCTGCATTTATCAGCTGCCACCTCCCTGCGTCGGGAAGCTGGGATCCGAGTCTAAAACTCCCTGGCAGCCACACTCCTCAGACTGGAGGGTGAGAACCAGTCCCCACCCTGGGACCCAGGATCTCCCCGAGGCTGGTGTGAGTCCTACCTACCAGAGGGCAGGCACTGAGCCCCTCCTGGCTTCACCAGCTCGGCGTTGCTGGCGATGGCTTTGCAGAGGCGGCACAGGTTGCCAATCTCTTTGAAGAGGTCGAAGCTGTCATCGTAGATAACGCTGCCCTTTCCCAAGGAGACACAACAAGAAGAGCACCACACGTGAGGCATGCACACAGCAAGGAGGCAGGAGCTGTCTTCTCCTGGCTACGCTGCCTGGGACTAGCTTACACAGACCATGGGTGAGATGGTGGAGAAACCCATTAGGGTCTGCCAAAGGAGTCCCCAGCAGCACCCAACACCCAGCTCCAGCTTTTTGCCCCCTCCACTGCCTGCATTTCACACTGCCCTCTCCAGAGGAAAGGGGCAAAGGCCAATTCCACAGTGTCCCCCAGATCAGAAGGCAGGAAGAATGGCAGAAAGCTGAGATGCATCTACCAAGTGACCAGAGCTAAGTTTAATTTTTCTGGGGGAAGGCTGCGAGTGTGTTGGGGTATCAGATCTGGGAGATAAGCTGTGCCCGGAAAAGTTACATCTAGTAACCTTTCCCTGAAGGAATTGTTTGTATTTTTTTCATGTTAATATCTCATATCAAGATAAAAAAAAAAAATCCATAGAGGAAAAAAAAAATCATTTCCCTGGATCTAGAATTTGTAGGGAGATTTTCATGCTGAGCTCAAGGCAGGTTTGCTTCTCCAATCCTCACGAAAGCCTGATTTAGGCTCAAAATTAGCAGGTTAGATATTGCACTCAGAAGGGGATTTTCTGAGCAGTCTGAAGTGATTTCAGTAAGAGCTTTCTGATCTCCATTATTTATGAATTTGCCAAACTAGAAACGTACTTCTGGCTCATGACAGCGATCCCTGGAACATCTCTGCTCTTCCATCTGCCCAGACCGTGCTGCCTGGGCTGCGGGGATTAACTAAGCACCACGCAGGGAGGCTGCCCTGCCCCCCAGCCCCAGCCCAGCCATCCAGCAGCGTGTACCATGTCTCCAATGACGTGGTTGTCCAGGCCCCTCGTTCGGTTCACTCCCCTGATGCCAAAGACCACGAAGACCATGGCTCCCGTGTCCACCAGCGGCCGCACCGCCGGCTTCCCGCAGCCCGCCTTCAGGCAGGGGTTAAAGCCAGAGGTGGCCGACAGCTTGGCCCTGGGTGCTGCTGCCGAGCACAGGAGAAAGGCTGGTTACAGCAGAAGGCAGGAAAAAGCAAAAGCTTTGACTATTTTTTGGAGGTGCCAGCCAGGGGTGGCCAGCCGGGTCCCCCCCCCTGCTCACCTTTCTCGCTGGGGACGTAGAGGATGCCTTTGGTGGGGCCGTCGGGGCTGGAGCTGAGGAGGCAGCCAGGAGGGGCAGCACACACCCGGCCGTGGTACGGGGGCTTGTGAGACTGGGCAAAGTACAGCTTCCTGTGCAGCAAAGAAAGCTCGTCACTGGGGACCAGAGGTGGTAAAGAGGATGGGTCTGAAGCATGACAAACTGATGTGCTCAGGGACAGAAGGAAAGAGGTGAGCAACTCCAGGCATGGAGCTCTAGCCATTGTAAAGTCTGTGCTGATTGTTCAGCCCAGGAGTTCAGGTGGGGAAGGGCAAGACTGAGATCAGCAATGGTTTTTTTGTCCCCCAAGGCAGCTCTCAGTCAGAGTCTCGGAGCTGTCACACCTTCAGCACACTAAGGATGCTGTGGGCCTCTGCAAAGATGGGGCCCGTTTACAGTCCTAGGGCCGTGGATGCCACCA